AATGTGTGGTAATATTTTTGTTTTTTTGTTTTTATTTCTAAAACATATAGAAAATTTAGCTGGTAAATTATTTTTTGAAAAATAAACTAGACACATTTGTACACTTTGTAAGGATTACTCATTGTCAAAGATTGATAATTTTTTCCTTGAGGTTATTTGTTGAATTGATAATTGGAATTTGATGTGTTCATATTGGGGCTCTTTTTTAAATTGATTGTTGGATTCTATAGCTATTGAATTATAATTATTTAGATATAATTCTTTTTATATTTGTAAATAAATTTCTACCAATTGACCCCCCAATAAAAAAAGAAAAAAAGTCTTAAAACAATACACTATTTCAAAAATACTAAAAAAGTGATTTTTGAAATTTAAAAATATAATCTTTGATGTGACAACAGTGTAAAAAAGCTACTCAGTACAATTTTTACTATACGAAGTTTTGATCCAACCAATAGTACCTGAAATTTGGATGGAGTCTAAAGTCCAAACAGGGTCACATCTTTTTGCATGTGTGGAGGAGGCTCATTATCAAATGGTCATATCAATACTTTCGTTTGGAAAGTGAAATATACTTTCTTTTTTTTTTTACCCATAAAATAAAGTTGAAATTATTTTACAATGAAATAAAAAAGAAAAATATACACAAACATGATTATTTGTATCCTTATATAAATTTTTACTTGCACCTCATCAAATCATAGAATAATTTGTACCCTTCATATTTTGGTTTTTTTTTTTTTTTTCTTCTCTCACTGAAAAGCAATTTTCCCTAAAATAAAAAGCACAATAATGTAGTTTTACAGCGTTTTTGGCTGTATCTTTTGGATTGTAATATATGCTTTGATCTTTCACATTCCTTTTGAAATCTAAAAGTGAAAAGAATTGAACTGATTAATAAAGTTATGAGAAAAAAGAAAAAGTAGATAAAAGATTGCATTTTCTCTCTTTAATTGAAAAAATAGGAAAGAATAGAACGTAATTGTGTCCATGAATGTGAAGTGCAGGCCCTCACTTTTTCTTTTTAATTTTTGGGTCTCATTTTGTTGCTGAGCATGTAAAAGCAGTCTAATCTCAATCAAGAGATGCTGGTCTACGACTACACCGTCTCTCCCATAGCCCCGCTAGAATACAATGGCCAATGTCACAATTCACACCGTCTCTAAATATATGATTATATGAGAAACAAACAATATTTAACATTTCAAATTTATACAATTATGTGAGACTAAATACTGGAGTTCATACGATTGCATGGCGCTTGATCATTGGTATTGCCCATATTACATAATTTTTCTTTAACGCTCAACTCAACAGATTACAATAACCACTATAATAAATAAGAGTTTTAGAGATTATTTTCTTTAACGCTCAACTCAACAGATTACAATAACCACTATAATAAATAAGAGTTTTAGAGATTATAGGCATTGTTTGGTTTGATTTTTGGAGAATTTTTTTGAAAATATACTCTACAAACACTTTTTTAAGAGTAATCAAACCAAACTGATTTTTCGAAAAAAACTCTCAGTAATGTGTTTGGTTATCCAATTTTCAGGATTAATTACTTTTGAAACATGTTTGCAAAAAGTCAAATCAAACAAGTTTTTGTACTTTTATCTCAAAAATTACTTTATAAAAAGGCAAACTAAACAAGTTTTTGTAATATTTATCTCAAAAATTACTCTACAAAAAGGCAAACCAAACAAGTTTTGTACTTTTTTATCTCAAAAACTACTCTACAAAAAAAACTAAGTTATTTTAGAGAAAATATTTGAAAAAATACAAACCAAACAAGTTTTTGTACTTTTTATCTCAAAAATTACTCTACAAAAAAAAAGTATTTTATAGAGAATATTTAGAAAAAAGCAAACCAAACAAATTTTTGTAATTTTTTATCTCAAAAATTACTCTATAAATACAAACCAAACACACAATTTTTTAATCTCTGAAAGAAAAAATTTTGTTGCAAAAGATATTTAGGGACCAATTTTTATTGTCGTGAGGATAGTCGCTAAAATGTCGTCCCAAAAAGTCAAAAACAAGGCTTGTAGTAACACAATTTTGAAAATGCCACTAGTAAATAGATTTTTAGCAACAAAATAATTTGGTCTCAAAATGGTTTATTTTTTGAGACAAAAAGTTTAGTCTAAAAAAGATAATAATTCATCACTAATGTTCAATTTTTGTTACTGAAAATATATAATAACAACACTTTTCGTAACAAAAATATTTAGTTTTTAAAAAATAATTTTGTTCATAAATTTTAATTTCTAAAACTTTAATTTTTTATAGTGAAGATTGACCAATTTATATAGTGTTTCTTGAAAATAATTTCATTTCAAGCAATTAAAGAGAAAATATGTCAAGCAAACGTGCATGAATCACAATTGATAAGATACTTTTCCTTTCCTTGCAAGTTACAATTATGGATTTCAAAATATTCAAGAGCTATATTCTCCATACCAATCCAAAATCAACTTTCCACTTTCATCTTATCTTATTCTCCCCACTTTCCTTCCTTTTCTTATACCTGTGTGGACTTAGATATACCCTAGCATTAAATGTTCACATTTGTTGGGTGGAAAAAAGAAAAAGAGAAAAAAAAAAATTACAAACTTTTATTGATAATTTCATAAATAGTATTGGCAAGGAAACATCATAAAATTGGGCCATGAGAAGTGTATGTTCTTCCACCAAAATTTTTAATTAGAAAGTGACTCTGCATTGAGTGAATAAATATTTACTGTAACATTTACATCTTTTTATGTAGCGTCATTGGTTAATAAAATACCATAAATGACATTAAATAAATATCTTTTGCCTTTTATTAATTCAATCATGCAGTCTTTACTACCGCAATGTAAGTTTCTTTATTAATTAGTAATTACTATCACATAATATGATCGTCACCCTTAATATTTACTTGTATGGTGATACTACATACACCAATTAATATACACATTAGTATACTAACTAGTGTTATGCCATTATTTCTTATCCCACCTATTAGGCAAATTATAAATATTCAAAATCTCTAAAATTATGTCACATCATCTATTAATATATATATTAATTAGTACATATAGTATTATTCTTATTCATATGTAGCGTCATTAGTTAATAAAATATATACCGTAAATGACATTAATTTTTTTTTCTTCTTTGTTTGCAACAAAAAAGTAGTTTAGCAATTAATGCTACAATCAAACCATATTTACCACCAAATAAAACATCCCCTCTTTTGTAAAGAGCTAAATTTTCGAGAACTTATTCAGGGCTCTTAAAACAAGTTTAGGAGTTATTTTCAAATGAATAACTAAAGGTCTAAACTATAGAACTCATTATTTTTGTATTGAAATTTTAAAAGACAATGTATAATATATCAATTAATAAATAGAATGGAACATTACTCAGTGAATAATTTTCACGATAAGCCGGTGTTGATGTTAATAAAATGATGTTAGCCTATGTAAAGCAACTTCTATAAAAATAAAAAAAAATAAAAAAAGGTACTTAAAATAAGCACGCACTTACAAGAGAGACTTCGATGTTGTTTTTCTTTTTGGATTTTGCCTCAACATGTAGCCCCTCCATGCAGGGGAATATATATATATATATACAAAGATATCTTCCTAAACTACGAGCATACATGATCTTACAATCAAACCATATATATTCTATTAGACAAAGTATTGGTTTTATTCAGTGTCATGTCTTATTTTTTTTACTTTATAAAAATGCTTTCATATCCAATAATTATTAAATATTTTTTATTTATTTATGAAACCCTCTAAAATTGTTAACGATTTTCTTTATGCATCCAAAAACTTGAAAATTTTAGTGTAAAATTTGATATGTATATATATATACATACATATATGTGTGCTTGTGCCTGTGCAGGGGTGGTGGTGGTGGTAGTGGCTAATAGCAGTCCAATCATGCTATGGTATTATAAGTGGATAGAGGAGAGAGAACTTGACAGAATGGATGCAACTATTTAGAGAGTTTTAAGATGTCATCAATTTTTTTTAAAGTTTATTTATTTATTTATTTATTATTATTATTATTATTATAGAGAATGAGACGAGCCATCCACTTCTGATCTGAGGGTCTAAATGGGCCGCCACGTAATTTCATGATGTCCCATTGGTTGGATGCTTAGAAACATCAACTTCTGCTTTTGTGAGTGAATTGATGAAGAAGAAGAAGAAGAAGAAGAAGATCAGAAGAATAAGAAGATGATAAAATAGAAACATCAACTTCTATTTGATTTTGACATGTGGATCTGCCATGACAAATGGATTCTTGTGGCCTCAGCAGGCCTCACAAAATTGACTTCTTGCCCTTTTTTATTGGACAAATTGTGTTCCTAGAAATAATTCTATTTTTCTTATTTTATTAGGATTTAAATATAATTTCTTTAGGGGTGGAAAAAGAGAACTGCTAAGCAATAACAAGTTGTACAAGTTAAAAAAACACTGCTAATGCCATCCAACTCTCGTTTTTTGACACAAGTTGAACTTCTAAGCTCTCATGAATGAGAAATAAGTAATAATAGAGTACAAGTGAAATTGTGCTCGGTACAAGTGAAAGTTATAATACGAGACAACTCACTTCTATGAAAGTGTAATTATTTTAAGTTATTTTTATTATAACACAATTCTCCCTTTTTATGTATTTTTATTTTGACAGTGGTTGTTTCCTTTGTTATTCTAACCCTCAATAATCAATAATCCCCAGCTTTATCCTACCTCAATACTACAGAGCAAACCAAGAAAAGATTATTTCTAATTCTAAAAATGCTATTAACTAAATAAGACTCATGATTTTTATCCCCAAATAATAATGACGTGGAAACCTTGTAGAATTAAATTTGTGATAAATAAAAAGTTAATAATTAACATTATTGTGGTCAAATTAAGGAAGACATCTTAAGGGTCTCAAAACCAAGAGTCCCCTCACAACCGAGACGTGTGCAAGATAAAATCAGCACAGAATTGTTAAAAAAAAAACAGCATTTATTCATTTGAATGGGATGCTCAATGCACCAACCCACGCTTGGACAATACCACGATATATTTCATCAGTAAACAATTTGGGGAATGACCTAAAACAAATCCACACAAAAAGAAGAATAAATGTATTTACATATTTCCGGAGGAGATTAATCACAAGAGGCAACAGAAAGTGCTACTCGGAGATCATTTGAGGTTCCACAAATATACATTCGGTTTGTTTCTATTTCTTTTTGATAATTTCTTGGGGTAGAGGCTGCATAGTAACTGCCTCTCACTCTATCACGCACGGAAAATATGATCTCCCTTGCAACTGGTTCGTGGCCGTTCAGAAGATTGCCCATGCTTAAAACTTTCCTCCATGACTGGTTGGCAGTGGGCGGAGTGAACATATTCGCAACCACCTCTCTCTCGTGTATCCTCACGTGTTGCTTCTTATCAAACTTCTGAGCAAAATAAATTATAAAATAGTAAATATACGAGTATGCTGTGTCAGCTAAAGTTACTACAGTTGACGGTGTGTTCAAATGTTTTCAACAGCCTATCAAAACCAATATTCCAAAATTTTGAAGGAATTTGTGCCTTTGCCTGGATTTGAAGCCAGATTGGAATTTTCAAGTTCTAGTCATTTTGAAGTACTTCTAGTGCTAAATTCATGCTAATTATATAAGATTCAAACAACAAAGGAGCAAATGCCTAAACCAAATGCTTAAGCTAACTACTGAACTGCTAGACCAAAAACACACGTCATTTGGGAATTTACCATATCACGATTGCCTGCCACTGCGCCTGTCCCCATTGTAGGTAGGTAAAAATCGTAGTAGTCACTGAAAATTACTTCTGACAAGCGTGGTGCTTGCAAAAACTTACGATGAAGAGAAGCTGCAACAGTTAGCAACTTCTCAACATGTTCAAAAACAACACAAAGCCGTTTCACGTCTTCAGTAATCTCACTGTCGACAGAGAGACGATTTGCTGCAAGGAAGAGAGGGGGAAAACATAAATTCTGCAAACTTGCATCTATGTAAAATGGAACCAAGATTCAGGAAAAATAAAATAAATGTCAAGAAAGCATAAAGACAAGCATACCTTGCAAATGCTTCAGTGTAGAAGCCATTGTAAGATAAAGTTGACCCATTTTGGTGACCATCTGCTTTAAGCCACCAAAGGTTGCCTGGTTTAGAGTGTCAGCTGAAGCTCTGAAGGCAGTACAAACCATTTGTTCCAGCAGTAGATGCGGTCGCAATGTTTCCAAATAATGAAGAACCTACAGAGTTCAAAGTGACATGAAAGGTCAATATTCCAAACCAAAAAGATAATGGCACTCAAAGACCCATGCCAACACAATAAAATATATAGTAATATGGTTTGAAGAACATATTACTTCTCTTCCAAATACTGAATCCAAACTGCAATTACAAGGTTGAAAAGAGACCATCCAATTAAGGCCAAGTGGTTCGAAATTATTAACAACAATCACCACATTTGTTTAAATTGCATATTTTATAATTTTAACAGGGTATTTTAGTCAAATCACGCCCAGTAAAATTGTCATAATTACCTTCATTTTTGCTGAACACACGCATACTATTTAGCACAGGTTCGCCAACAATTTATGGAATCTTAACTGTTTGATTTTTGGCATGGTTGGGGTTATGCCTCATTATGTGTGGGGTTTTTTGCTAGTTGTCCTATCAAACCAAAAGAGGAAGGAGTGGCAGACAATTGCATTGTGTGCTTCCAGACTATGGAGGGAGTGTAATTATTTTGAATTGTTCTCATTAAAACCAAAAGGGATCCTTGCTCCTTGTTTATTTATTTATTTATTTTGATTGAGTAGTGTACTATTTCAATTGTGCCTTTTGTGCAGTTCATTGGAGATATGTTTATACCTCTTGATGTATTGTATATCATAGAGCCTTATCTTTTTGTAAAGCCATTTGCCACCTTCATAACACCTTTTAGTTTATACCACTTTTGGTTATCCAATAAATTAAAAATAAAAAACTTGAACTAGCAAACAAGAGTATTTCAAGAGACAGTCTAAAAAAAGCCACAACACATAAATAGCTCAACTTATATGGGACACACGAAGTTCATGCTTAGAAGGAATATACTGAATTTGATTTATACTCAGACGGGATACACTGAGTTCGATTTTTTTTTTCTTTCCCCTTTCTTTTCTTTTCTTTTCTTTTTTACATTTATCCAATATGACAAATGTTGAGATGCAAAAAGACAACTTGCATGTTTTAATAACCTTCCATTAAAAGGCAGTCAGCCTTGTGCTTAGAAGTATCCCAATTCCCAACAAACTATACCTTATTGCATTTGAATTTTGAATTCCCATTCCACTTGTTGAACCAAGACATATTCTAGGTAGCATCAGATCTTAGTAGATTATTTTCTATATCTTTCAACAAACAAGAAAGACAATGGTAGAAAGAACCATTTTGGACCGTCAAATCTATTGCTCTGAAACATAAATTGAACGGCATTTCAAAACATCAAATGTTGGTCACCATTTAATCAGAAATTACTGTCTTGTGGTAACACCAGTTTTATGAACTTGAGACCTTCGCTGTAACATCCTACATTTGCTAATATTTTGTTGGGAAACATAAAAACTAGAGCAGCCCAGATATTTTTTAAAAAAAATTGCATGATGTGCACATTTACAAAGAATTTTACCTTTTCTCCTTCTCGATTAGGATCCAAAAGTGGCTTCTGCTCAGAAGCTGGCAAAGCAGGTGCATCATTCCAAATTTTTCGCCACAAATTCCCATGCTCAGACATTCTATCTGAAAGTCGTCCTCGAGGAGGCCAATTGTTTTTTAACGCTTCCATTGCATCATTTGTAGACACTTCTCCACTCTCTTCAAAGTCATCATTCTCCCAATCTCTAGGTGAATGCCAGCGGATAAAATCTTCAAATACAGCAGCAGGATTTGCTGCTTTGAATGCTGACATGTCTGATTCAGATTTTCACAAACATCCAGCACCAAATTAATTTTGAAAGGAAATTAATAATGGGTTAAGTTCATGCTTAGAAGGAATATACTGAATTTGATTTATACTTAGACGGGGTACACTGAGTTTGTTTTTTTTTTTTCCCTTCCCTTTCTTTTCTTTTCTTTTCTTTTTTACATTTATCCAATACGACAAATGTTGAGATGCAAAAAGACAACTTGCATGTTTTAATAACCTTCCATTAAAAGGCAATCAGCCTTGTGCTTAGAAGTATCCCAATTCCCAACAAACTATACCTTATTGCATTTGAATTTTGAATTCCCATTCCACTTGTTGAACCAAGACATATTCTAGGTAGCATCAGATCTTAGTAGATTATTTTCTATATCTTTCAACAAACAAGAAAGACAATGGTAGAAAGAACCATTTTGGACCCTCAAATCTATTGCTCTGAAACATAAATTGAACGGCATTTCAAAACATCAAATTTTGGTCACCATTTAATCAGAAATTACTGTCTTGTGGTAACACCAGTTTTATGAACTTGAGACCTTCGCTGTAACATCCTACATTTGCTAATATTTTGTTGGGAAACATAAAAACTAGAGCAGCCCAGATATTTTTTAAAAAAAATTGCATGATGTGCACATTTACACAGAATTTTACCTTTTCTCCTTCTCGATTAGGATCCAAAAGTGGCTTCTGCTCAGAAGCTGGCAAAGCAGGTGCATCATTCCAAATTTTTCGCCACAAATTCCCATGCTCAGACATTCTCTCTGAAAGTCGTCCTCGAGGAGGCCAATTGTTTTTTAACGCTTCCATTGCATCATTTGTAGACACTTCTCCACTCTCTTCAAAGTCATCATTCTCCCAATCTCTAGGTGAATGCCAGCGGATAAAATCTTCAAATACAGCAGCAGGATTTGCTGCTTTGAATGCTGACATGTCTGATTCAGATTTTCACAAACATCCAGCACCAAATTAATTTTGAAAGGAAATTAATAATGGGTTAGGTATTTAAAACATTCTTTTTTTTTAATAGGAAAGACATGCATGTTCACATATGATATGATCCATAAATCCATAGCTATGAAAGACGAATCTAAAATGGCAAAAAAAAAAAAAACCAAGTACACAGCCATACAGCTGGGAAAATGCAAAAAAGATTTAACAGTAAAACAAATTCATGTTATGAAAACAGGAGAAAAAATTTGCACATGTTCTCAAATTTTCCGTGAAACAAAAACCAAATGCAGCAAAAGAAAACAAGCTTCAGGTCATGTTTAACAAGGCTGAGAAATAGTAAAACAATCTCATTCTGTATGAGGGGAAAAAACATAAACATTTGAAATGCTATTGAGGGTATGCTCATGTTTTAACTGAATTATGCCCCTTAAACAAGCAGAATGGCAAAACAGGATTCTTGTAGCTGACCCCCAAGTAGTTGGGACAAGACTTTGTCGAGTTTAGTCAGCATTACATGGATTTTTTTAATTTAATTTGTTACACCAAAAAAAAGGTATTTTCCGAATACGTTTTATTTTTTGCCAGCCAAATTTGTAGACGGAAAAGTATGTATGTTCTGTGATCATTAGTGGTTTTTGTTATATGGGCACCAAATGTTACATTATGTTTGTGCGTAAGTTCATGGATTTTTCAGTTTTTACTATAAGACTCTTTAACAAATGTTGAATTACTGGTTTTGGGATTCATCCAATACATTTGGAATCTAATCTGTGCCTTTTGGCACTAGGATGTAGCCTTTCAACCTTGAATCTCCAGTTTTTGTCATCTTCACACCACCCCTAAAATAGCACCTCAGATCAACATCATCTAGAACATTGATTTCAGCTTTTATAAATATGTCCAGGCTTTATGTATGCCACTCTCTCTTTTCATGATTTTGATATTTTTGTTGTTTCAGGTCACTTTGGTCAAGTTCCAATTTTGTCAATTCCATCCCTGAAGTTTCCAATTTCAGTCAACATGATCCGTTTGAAATGGGCCATCTAAATCATCTATGTAACTGTTCCATTCAATGTCATGTTAGTTCCCAAAAACCAAGCCACTATCACAATAAATCTACCATATCAAAATCTACCCGTAATTTTATTCCTTAAGAACTAAATCCAAACCCTCGAGACCAAGGTTCTGAAAAGCGGTTGCGGTCGCTGTAACGGTGGCGGTGACGCGGTTGCGGTTGCAGGGTGTAAAGGCCATAGTGTAACGGTTGCGGTAACCGGAACCGTGAATTTTTTTATTTTTCGCACAATTTGAAAAAAACTTACCGATACACACATTTTTTTTTCCATGATCATATTTATTGGATTAAAAATAAATATTGATCAATTTTTATAAATTTTTAAATATGATCCAATATATTTCATATTTTTAAATCACTATAAATTGAGTTTTTTACATTTTATTTTAATAATTAATGACTTTATATTATACAAAAAATCAATCACTAACTATATATATAAGATAAACAATAACAAAAGTAAGAGAATAAATAAGAGCTTAAATATATATATATATATATATATATTAACCAAGCCAAATAGATAATGACCACGCTTATTATTATTATTATTATTCCTAACCTGCCCTTCCCACTCCAATCACACTCTCAAACTGTGCAGCTGACAAATTTTTTGCATTCCTAATGTGACTAGTAGTGAGCTATGGAGCTTTACTTTCTTAGTCTTCAGCATCCACTGAAGTTTTTGGTTTACATTTACCAACTTCAGAGAGAACAGGATTAGTTGCCTTAGCAAAAGCCTAAGAGGTTGAATTTTTTAGTACGATGTTGAAATCACTACTCCAGTTGTATTAGCCATGGCAGGGATGTTGTCAATCAAAGCAAAGGAACAAGGCTTTGAGTGAGACTTTGATGTTGTACCTTTGGAGAGAACGGTATCGGCAAACTTTTGAGGATGTACAGATGGACGTAAACAGATTGAAGATAACACTAGATATTTTTCATTTTTGGCTATAAGGGAAGATTTGTAATTCTTTTTTTGCTTTTATTGACTTTTTAGAAGAGCTTTATTTTGTCGAAAATAGTTTTGCTTTGTACCCCATAGCTGCTTTTTCAATATCTTACAGTCTTACTTATCAAATAAATAATTATGGCTTCTACTTCTTTATTGGAAAGAGTAAAACGAGCAGAAGTAAAAAATGAGCTTATTACCTGAAGATAATATATCTCTCTCCAACTGAGCAGAGAAGTTCTGTACAAAATGGTAGACAATATTTTCTCAGTTGATATCAATGCACTCTTCAAATTTACAGACCTCTATCTACCATGCAACACTTGAATAGGGAAGTTATCTAAAATGCAAAATGAATGTCAAAATAGTTTTCCCACAAGCAATGAGCAACTAACTAAATTAAACTTGTCAAATAAAAAAGGAGTTTCTTAGAGTCTTCTCATTTTTTAGGGCTTCCAGACTTTCATGATCCAAAAATGAAAGGTTTAAATCAAAGTTAATAGCAAGTGAACTGGTACCACTTTACTTGAATCGAAGTTGATGCAATGCAAGTGAAGTGGTAACCACTTTATCAAAACATCTAAGATGCAACCATTCAAATATTCTCTGAGATAATTAGTGATAGTCATAATATCAACATGTACATGTATATGCGTATCAATAGCATTCCCACAATGGCCATCTTCACCAGAGTCATAATGCATATGACGAAGAGTTTAAGCTTACAAATGAAGAACCCAAGGCTTCTACAGCATTGAGTCGTTCTTCATGCATGTCTTCTGTCATAAGTGGTGCATCCTATAACAAGTATGGAGAACAAGTCAAGATTGTTTCTATTGAAAATTCTAGGGAAAAAAAAAAAAACTGTTAAATAATCTTACTCTACTGAAGCTTAAACAACCTGCGTAAATGGAACATGCAAGTTCTGGTCTGATTTTAGAAGCATCATACCCACAACACCAGCTGATCCCTTCCTGATACAATCTGAAGGCCTTAAATCAGAAGATGTCACAACATCCTGGGCCTCAGAATTAATCCTCGATACAGAAGTTTCAGGATGACATGAATCATCTGACATTGAGCCACTGCATAGTGAGCACAAAGAGTATGAGTGAATCACATGAATGGGATATAAAAAAGGGCAATCAGCAGAAAGTCCAAAATTAATGTAATCCTATCATATCTATTTAGTGCAAAGTTATCTTGTAAGTTCACTACTTTGGTAAGCAATTATTAGTAATAAATACTCAAAAAGAACGAGTACCATAGGCACTAGGACAAGCCATTTACTGCATGTAACTTTCATGTTTAGGGTTTCAAGCACTAAATAGTGCCACTTGCTGTCACTCTAGTTTCTCATATTCCAAATGGTTGTGATATGCAAATTGAGTTTCAGGTTCTCACTGATCTTTAACATCAACATAATAGAAATATGCCACTATAATATTTGAGCAACTCTTCAACAAATATACAACAGAGAGAAGGCAAAAAAAGATTTAAATTCATTAAATTATAGTTAGTCTTTTGGACTATCAAACCAAACACACATCCAGCCTAATCTAAAAGAATCACTGTGTCAATGACATTGTAGGAGTTTCTATTCTTCCTCCACAAGAAAGCCATGAAGACAACCTGAGCGTGGTAATCAAGAATGTCCAGGTAAAATTAAACAAACTTCCAAAACAGAATAATATTCATACCAGAATAATACTCATACTTTAAATGAAGAGCAAAAATTAAAAACAATATAAAAAAAAACTTCAATAAAAATCCACAGCCTCAATGGATTTGCAATTAGTATTTAATTATGAAAACAAAAGGCTTCTCACTTGCTTAGTTCACCTGTCTCGTTTCCCAACAAAATCCTCACTAGGCATTCTCGTATGAGATAAGTCTCCATTGACCTGACCAGCTACCTGTATTTACATTTTACAGTCACATAGTACTTCAGGCCAAAAAGCAAAAGAAGAACGATGTTTACTGATTCTCGAACATGGAGACATTATAAGAATATTGACAGCAAAGGTAAAATAAGACACAACCTCAACTTGAGCAGAAACATGATCTTCGTTTTCACCATCTTGAAACTTTTGAGTTAGTTGACGATTCTTCTCAATGCATATTGCAAGCTGAACAATGAAGCGGCAAAGAAATACAATTATGGTCTCACGACTCTGACCACTAAATATTCTGGAAAAATCCCAAAAAGTAGAAAAGAAAGAAAGAAAACATCAAAAGGATGCTTAAGAGATCTCAAGACCATGACAGCATGACATCAATATCAGTTTTCATAAACAATATCCATTGTCAAACTACATAATTGCAACAAAGTCCCTAGTGCTAACCTACTGAAACAATACTATTTGTTTTCAGCAAGTCCTGCAAAATCACATCTATTATTAATTAATTTAAATAAGACTACAGAAAAAGAAAATCCCAACAGAAACCGATCAGACAAAGCGTTTAAGTCTTTACGTCTGAAGCGTTATGTGGATGTAAAATTCCAATTTATAAGGATTACAGGTAGCAAGAGCTGCAAATAGATGGCTATCCAATTGCAATCACATAATAAAACAATGTCCAATTGCAATCACATAATAAAACAATGACGTTCTTACATTTAGAAAAGTGCAACACTCTCGTAGCATAAAGGAACTTATAACTAGTTGGCCCAGTGGAATTTGTCCCCAATGTAGTCCAAAGTTTGGAACTGAGTACTGACTGACCATATCTGGTTACAGTAATATTAGCAGAGGGCAAGTATATATTGATATGCAATTAATACACTCTCCAACCAGACATACAACTATAAAGATATCTGGAAGGATTCATGTAGCCTACCCCACTTGATTGGGACACAAAGGTTAGTTTCGTTTGGTTTAGAAACACTTTTAGTTATCTTCCAAGTGATTTTTTTTTTCTTCCTTATAAAAGAGTATTTGATTTCAGAGCTTGAATTTCAAGTATTACCACAACATTTTCAGCTGTGCACATTTGGCAGCTTAAAGTCTTCAATAGAACCACTTGCACTAAAATTTCAGGGGCAAATTTTCAATTTTGTCAATCACCATTCACCACCTAACTGCCATGCATAATACCAAAACAAATGGCTACAATAAAGTACATTGAAAGCAATTTACAGAAGCAAATGTTAACTAGCTCATTAGTTACAAGATCCAAAGCATCTTCACAACTTCAGCATTTATAAGAGCCCCCAGGCTTGTATGAAGAACAAGTCTTGAATGGAAGTATCTAAAAGCATGCTATCTAAACATTCTTGAGATATAAATTCTAATTATAAATTAAATGCAATTAAATGAATTATAATTCCTTCTGCACTTCAGGTATGCATGTTTCATTAATAAGGTTCGTAAACTAACTGAAGAAAAGGCCAATTTCAGCAATTTGTCAATACAAATTCAATGATTCAAGGCCTACATTTGTCAAGGCGGAGGGGCAGACAAAGCTTGTGGTCTTTCAGAACCTTCAGTTCTCACAGCATAATGTCCAAGAAATGCACAAGGAACTAACCCTATTAACATTTCTCTAATGAAATGATGTACTATTACCATGTGTAGTTTCTGGTTGACCAAACAAGTTGACAAGTCAATCACACCAGTGGTTGGCATCCGAGGTAAAGCTTGTGACTCTTCCCAACACCAACGAACTTCTCTAACAAATTCTATCCAGAGCACAGCAATAGCTAATCAAACATAAAAGAAAAGCATAGTCAAAATGGGGTGAGTCCACATTCCGAATGGTCTAATACAAACCAAATCCCATGTAGATGATTAATAATTTAATGTCTCTAACAGAGTGTCACCATCCAAAGGAAATCATTCTTGACTTAGATACATACCACGTATGTTGCAGTTGCCAAACCAAAGTGAGTGTAAGCAAAACTGCGCAAAAAGTGAGTCAAGTGGTGCGCCTTTAATAGCTCGAGAATTCTTATGCTCAGTGAAATCAAGGAGCTGCACTCCTGCAAGTTGCATGAGGACATAGTCATGAAAGAAACATTAGATATTAAAGTCCACCTGCATTCAATTCTAGAATCTAAATTTTCAACCATACAGCAGTACATAATAAACTTGCATGCAAATTAAATGCATCTCCAAATTTGTGAAATTCACAAATGCATATAAATTCCAGGTATGTTCATTTCTTTAATAACTTTGTTCTAACAATAATGTCCCTTCCGTGAGATCTACAAAACACACACCCACCCATCCATGCACCACTACACATCCCGCAAAAATGTGTATCCATTGTAAGCATGATAAAGGTTACATGTTTCATAACTGCTAAGAGTTTCATGCAATGAACTTAAACAAAAGTCAATGATAGCAAATCAGGCTTAGCCTGCTAGGAGCTTGTCATCTAGGCTTGCAAGTTGCAAGTCTTGCTCAAGCAACAAAACTCAACTCAGTCGACTACCTTACTAATCGTCTTCAATCACATAATTAATAGATATTCTTGGGAATTATCACAGCTACAAAACCTTTAATTTGTTTATGAATAGAACTTTCTAAAATAGATATTAAGAGTTCTTATCCACACTTCTCCAATATGAAGAATGTGAAAAGCAATTTCTAACTATTTTTGTTAAAATGTATTTGTAATAAAACAAATAAATAAATAAAGAATTAGTTATTGTTTTTATGTATATATATCAAAATTTATTTTCATTTATTACCATGTAATAGTGGTGTCTTGATTCTTTTGAAAAAATTGTCAAGTCTGTATGTTCGTATCGTGTTATTTCCATATCCGTGCATGTATTCGTAATTTTGTAATGTCAGGGCTTCTCTCATATGGTAGTAGGTTCACATTCTATGCCATCTAATTATATGATAAACACCAGGGTTTAATTACACTTTTCACCCCTATAGTTTGATCCAAATTTCATTTTAGTCCTTATAGTTTCTTTTGAAAAAATTGTCAAGTCTGTATGTTCGTATCGTGTTATATCCATATCCGTGCATGTATTCGTACTTTTGTAATGTCAGGGCTTCTCTCATATGGTAGTAGGTTCACATTCTATGCCATCTAATTATATGATAAACACCAGGGTTTAATTACACTTTTCACCCCCATAGTTTGATCCAAATTTCATTTTAGTCCCTATAGTTTCGAATTGAACAATTTTGGTCCCTACATACACAGTCTAGTTTCAATTTAGTCATTCTGTCCAAATTTGAAGTTCAAATTATCAATCACATTAACAGCAGCAAATAAGAGATAAGAAAAGAAAATGGAAGGAATGTACCCTCATGAAAGAGATCTTTAAGCACACGATCAAGAACAGTTGGCGGAGGTATGACTGCTGAAGACTTCAAATTATCAGATCCTGAGTTTTCAACTGTTACCAAACATAAAGAAGAATATAAAAGTGAGAAAATTTTAAGCAACCTGATGTCACATCATGAAATGATACATCCCGGAGCTATCACTTATTAAAACTAGATACATCTATAATAGAAAAATGACAGGACAATCATATAGAGTTTTCAAACCTGACACAAAATCTTCCATAAATTGAGCCTCAAAAGACATATCCAGCGCATTCACCAAAAGATGCAATTGTGAAGCAAATGCAATTGTGTTTCCAACGGACCCATCCGTGCTGAACATCAATGATATTATGTTATACCATCAAATTCCAAACCCAATTCAGTAACACCATAGGAGAAGGGATGGCTATAACAGGGGACATCCAAACTTAACATTTGAATACAGAAAGAAAGTCCATTTCGTTTCATCACAATTATTTTATGATTTTTCCATTCTATAGTAAAACACCATTGCCAAACATTAAAAAAAAAAATTCAATAAAGATCTTTTTTTTTTCCTTTTTTTTTCACAATGAATGCTAGAGTTCGTATATGATATGATCTGATTAAATGCCAATTGATTCTTTCCTTTCCTAATAGGCTCCACATGTGACTAATAGTAATCTTCTTCTTCTTTTTCTTTTTAGGGACAACAGAATATTGTATAGTAAACTTCAACAAATGGAAACAAAACATGAACAAATTGAATTAATAATTCAAGTTCCTAACTATCTCAAGGCAAAATTTATCTTGAACTATAATTATATTTTTATTTACTTTGAGAAGCATATATATTTGCCGATGCAATTTTAAAGAATTGAGTATAACTTGGATAATATAGAAAAAGATGGAGAGAAGAGAATTGAGAGATAAGAAGAGCAACAGAGAGATAATAGTCAAGCTACATAAACCTTGACATGGATTACTCACCTTCAATCTGACTTTAGAAATCTCATCAAGGCAAGGTAACTTACATCCCAATTAGCATCCAGTGAGATTAAAGGGGAAAGCTCAGACCTCAAATCTTCCAGACCCTGGCTAAAGCCTTGAGGAAAAGGCTCCAACTCCATATCTTTCAATTTCAAGTTTCCACAATTTTGGTGGATGAATACAAACCATGGTCCAAGACAACCTTTAACCTCTCAGATTTTCATTCCAAAGGACTTTTTATTAGAGGAATACAAAACGTGGGTGCGAAGTCCAAGGCTAAGAAATGAGTTGAGGAGAAAAGAAAAACTAGGAAGGATTGCTAAGTTAAATTTTGAAAGGTTTATTATACTAAAGCTCCAGATTGAGAGGATGTGATGTATGATCAGAGAGAGTAACACTCTTGTACAAGTAGTGAGCCCAACTTTGATGTAGGCTGCAAAAAAAAAAAAAAAAAAAAGAGTTTTTTGGGGCCAATTTTAATTGCGCTTGTGGCTGAATAGTTAGTAAATACACAGGTCTCTTAAGGGTTTGTATGGAGGTAACAGAAGGTAGAGGTTTGAGAGTGAACAAAAAGGATATATGGGGCTATTCGGGGACTGTTCTAAATGCTGTGGACAGTGCCCATGAACAGCATCTGTGTTGGTTTTGTATTCCTGTTCTTTTGCAAGTAGGTACTAGGGTTGAAGAACTATGGTGCAAGAAGGTTGAATTGGACCTAATACAGATCAGGTTTTGTGGTTTTATAGGATAAAAGTGCCAAAAAAAAAAAATTATAAAGAGCAAAAATGAAAACTCTACGAACAAATCACTCCTAGAAGCCTCCACACCTAGGCTTTATTGCATCGCATGATCTCAAAGAAACTTCAAAATAAATAATTTTCTAAAACATGTTCTCCATTGAATTAGAGGTAATTACATTACTTTGGAGGCTTTCTATTGCTAGATAGGAAATTAAGCTTTTGACTTCGAAAATTTATTTAATATCAAATAAAACCCAACAATATAACCCATAACACGACACATGGGTGAACCCTCTCAAAAAAAATATGAAATCCAAAATACCCCTAACCTACAAAAAACCAAGAAACATATAAAACCAAACTAAACTAAGCATTGTGTCCCAATCAAATGAGATTGGTGACACGAATTGTTTTTTGCCATTCAGCTCTATCTGGCAACCTATAAAACACAAACCATAATTAAAATAAGACTCTACAAAGTCTAAAAGTTTTAATTAAGTGAGTTTGACTTAAAACTACGTAATTTCTAAACTTTATAACGTCTTTAATTTCTTACTCTTTCTTGATCTTCCTATGATCTGCATTAGAAAGAAAAACAGGGAGTACATTTTCTTAGGGCCTTGACCAACAAACTGTCATTCTCTCTTCCATTTAGGTTTTCAGTCAAAGGCACATTATTCATTCCGTAAATGAGACATTTTAGTCATTTGAGCAAAGTGGTCCAAGCTTGCAACAACTTTGGTTTTCTAATGGAAAAAGTAATTTTCTAAATAGGAAGCTTATTCTATGACTATTTTGAAGAGAATAATTTTCTTAAATGGGTAAATGTTGCTTTTAATAATCACTGGTAAACAATGATCGAATGAGAAATTCTTACAAATTTGGCACATACTATCATACTACTTTTTTTTTTCTTTTTCATGTTAAGCACTTACACATACCACTTAAATAATAAATTATTTGACTACCATCTAGTAATTAAAAAAAGAAAAGAAAGCTCCTTACAAATTTGGAGACAAGTTTGGAAATATGGACCACTTCTCAGCTTCATGGGGTGAAGCATTCTCCAGTTCAGCCATTTCTAGAGAACTTTCAACTGTCTTCTCTGACCAAATGGTAATCAAGTCAAATCCTGCAAGCATTCAATTCAACAAAAATAACAAACAGATTAGCTTCCTCCATTAGAGAGGTTTGAAGCCAACACATCTTTGAACAAAACATAAGTTGCAATGCAATCCTAACATGAAGATGTTGAATCTTCACTTGGAAAGAACAATCCTCAGCCATCTCAGACATAGCGAATAGTGTATTGCAGCATATAATAGGAATGAAACTATGCTGTGAATATTAGAAGGAGAGACGGATAGAGAAAGAGCTTACCTTTGACAGGGTCCTCTGCGGAATACCACTCACTCCAAGGACAATCGTCATCCCATTGTGTTTTGTTGCGGATGTCACCTCTAGGATTTTCACCAGACTCGGTACTTTCAACATCAATTTCTTGTACTTCATCGTCATCATAGGGAAGAGTTTTGTAGGTCAGCTTCATTCTAAAATGGACTTTGAAAAGATGCATTGAAAGGTCCAATGTGGAGAAGACCTTCAACAGGAAATCCAATAAAAATATTATCACTTCGAAGGATGAGAAACTAAGTTAACCTAGATGACCAAAGAGTAAAAATGAGATGAGGAAGTCAACACCAACAAATGACATGATAAACTTTTGTAAAGACATTCTTGCACAAGCTATAGCACAAAAAAATTAACAAGTACAGAGGCATGCCAACATGTTCATGCAAAAGTGAAGTTACCAGAACAAAAAAGAAATTAGAAAGATCACACAGGGCTTTCAGGCTCATGAAGAAACAGAGTGTCTCAAATATATTCACAACATATATCACTCTTAGAAATTTCTGAGAAGAACTATTCAAAGGTGCAGGATGTCTCAAATGCAAGAAAAAACAATAAAACTACATCAAAATATAAATATGAAGGAAACTTACAAACTTTGAAACAAATAATTCATGTAACCCTTCCAAATGCATGAGCTTCACTGGAACCTGGCTACCAATACGATCTGCCTCAAATCTTCTAGTAAAAATTGTTCCCATATTCTGGATACCAATGTATGCTTTCCGAGAAGGATCATGCACTGGAACAAATGCTGGCCACAAACTGCGCCATGAAAGTGTAGAAAGATCAAATTTCAATTAATCTCCTCATTACGAAGAGAACAGAACTACAATAGAAATCATATATCTCGCAGGTAAATCATTCGATAACGGAATTTTTTTGAGAATTTAGTAAGTTTTTTCAAAGGAGATTAAAAAAAATACAAAACAAAACAAAGAGAAGGTTATTGATGAGCGAGATTTGCTTTTTATCTTAATGTTTAAAACAAAGGCATTCATAGTTTTTTGATAATTTAGCATCAGCCCTACCTCGAACAATTTGACAATGCAATGGCAACTGCACTTAAAAGCTTGCTAGCCTCAGGTGCATCAAGGACCACACCACTGGCACTCTGAGGTGCAATCATCTGGTAATTCACGCAGAGAGTGAAAAAAAAAAATGTAAATATAGGCATAAATATAATATAAAATGAATGGATTATATAGTGTTATCAGAAATGCAAGATGTCGAGTAAAAAGATACCAGAAATTCCTTCACCCCAAAAGACAACTGCATATCATGCAAAGTGCAACTCCAATCTGCAACTTTTCCTGGAACAAACAAAATTGCAGTTAAATAGGAAAGAAGGAATCTCCAATACTGAAGCAGATATAGCTACAGCAGAATTTCTCATCTACCATCATTGTTGGTTTCAAAGTAGTACTCCATGCAATAGCTCTTTGTAGCATACTTCAACTCAAACTTCACTAGATATAAGCTCATTGAAGAATCCAAACGAACAGCACCTTTTTCCTGCAACCAAATGCTGGAGGACTTGTAACGGAGGTCATCAAATGAAAGGTAATCAAACAATCAGGTTTCTGCTCATATTTTAACAGGATAGGTTATGGTAGTCAGTAATGAAGCCAAATCTGTAATCAGATGGAAAGCCAAATCATTAAAAGTGGCATTAAACATAATATAATTTCTTGTAAGATTATTTATAATTGTTGTTTACTCAGTGTAACCAAGGCAGGAAAAAAACACTGAAATGATTGATGGAACAGAAGTAAAGGAAAAAATGTATGTATAAAAATAAAAATAAAAAACAAAAAAAGAATGACATAACAACTATATGAAGCATAATAGCAAAATATGTTTTAATCTAACTTCATGCAATGAAGTAATCAATAACAAGAAAAACAACAAATCGAGAAGTGGGGGAAAAAAGAGTAGTATACAGGCATCACGAATCATCATCACAGATAAAACCACTTGATTTTAAATTTTACATGAGAATATCACATGGGCAACAATCTGGGTCCTTCCCTAAACCCACCCCCCCTTTTATATATCCAAGATTCCCATGCAAACTTCCAATGTGGGACTCACGCACTTGTGTATGCAGGATCGACTATTTCTTCTTTCTTTCTTTTGATAAGCAATAAAATTTTATTAAGAGAGTGTCGAGGGGCTACCACCCTTGTACAAACACAAAAAGTGAATAAAAAAAAAAAACAAACACCCCAACTGGAACACAAACAAGTACAAGGCAGTAACCTCCAATGACTGAACAATCATCGAAGCCCAGTAAAACAACACAAGGGTGGCTTCCCGTTTGAAGCCATTATATTTATATAAATATTATCTTTACTTATCAAAAAAAAATCCAAGTAGAAACAACATTATCATGTATACATAAATTGCAACATATATGAATGATAATCAAATTGTGTGCATATTCATCATTCAGAAAATGTTGAAGTTGATCAAATGGGGCTCTCCAATCCAACCAAGCATACCAACAAATTTTTTGGACCATCAGCCAACCATTGTCGACAAACTGCTTCTACTTCAGATATAAACCCATGCAAACTTCCAATGTGGGACTCACACAGTTGTGTATGCAGGATCGACGATTTCTTCTTTCTTTCTTTTGATAAGCAATAAAATTTTATTAAGAGAGTGTCAAGGGGCTACCACCCTTGTACAAACACAAAAAGTGAAGAAAAAAAAAAAACAAACACCCCAACTGGAACACAAACAAGTACAAGGCAGTAACCTCCAATGACTGAACAATCATCAAAGCCCAGTAAAACAACACAAGGGTGGCTTCCCGTTTGAAGCCATTATATTTATATAAATATTATCTTTACTTATCAACAAAAAATCCAAGTAGAAACAACATTATCATGTATACATAAATTGCAACATATATGAATGATAATCAAATTGTGTGCATATTCATCATTCAGAGAATGTTGAAGTTGATCAAATGGGGCTCTCCAATCCAACCAAGCATACCAACAAATTTTTTGGACCATCAGCCAACCATTGTCGACAAACTGCTTCTACTTCAGATATAAACCTACAAAACATCATCGGTATTATTAGGTTCTTCTACTTCTATCTAAGTTACGTGATGTGAAAACATATCAAGTTAAATGTAAAACGGAAAACCGAAAATGGAGAAATGACATGCACCCTTAGAGCAAATAATGGTTAGTAGAAGGTACCTTTCCCATGAAGATGCAAGAGTGAAATCATCAAATCGTTCAAACTACACCAAGATTGAAACCAAAAAAAAAAAATAAATTATCAACTTATCTTGTCCTCCATTGCATGAAAATGATAATAATGTGTGATGGAATATCTTCCCATCTTTTATGATTCTAGAATCCAACCAATTCTGCTAGTGGAAATCAGACCACCACTAAAAGTACTTCAAGCCCGATAAATTGAAGATACATTGTATAACTCAAGCAATGTCTCTTATACAGAAATAATGGATGGAACTAAGTTTCTTCACTCATTTGAATAATTTATTTCAAGTTTTAAAATTAGCATACCATTCGAAATAACACCTGGTTGTGTGTGTGAAGTGTGGAAAACATTGCCCATCAAATTGATTTAGTCAGAGAATAATAGGTAAAGAACACAAACATAGGCTTCTAGCACCTTCCAACAAGAATATGTATATGTGCATATCCACGTTAATTTCTAAATTCTAGTAAGCTATCCTCCTATCTATCTCCCCACCAATTTCATCCATCATATAGATTGAACTATTGTTTCACTACATTGCTTGCCACTACAGCTAACCAACATAAGCATAATTCATCAAAATTATGCCAACGAGTTAAATTTACAAAAATATAGCAGTTTTTTCGCCATACCTGCTCTTCTTGATCTTCGTCTTCGACAGCGCTTTGCATCCCGCTGGAGGATGCCATAAACTATCTGAGAAAAAATTTTGTCAATTTACATGTACACTCACCAAAAACTCTTCACAATCTTGATCATTGATTGTTCTTTGATTGTGAATAATTCATATGAAAAATCAATTGAAAGTAGTAACTTCACTCATAATTGGTCAGAAACAGAGAATGTCTCCTAGATATCAACGATTTTCTTTAATTTTAATTCATCAGAGAAAAGTCTTACCAGCGGTTGAAATGAATGTGAAGATTGTGGAATTTGTAACCCTAGGTTTTCTTCAATGTACTGACCGTGAGGAACAAAGAGACGAGTGATGAGGTTGAGCCTGTGAGATCTGTTTCTAAGATGAGTGAGAAAGGAGGACGATGACGGTTCGGGTTTAGGGCGTTGTTCGTACGCGATTAAGTGCAGGGTTAGCGGGTGTTCGATTGCTATCTGTGGTTGTACACAATGAACGATTGGGCCTCTGTAAATGACAGTTTTGCCCAAAAATCGGTTACGTGGAAAGCGCTCCTTTCACGCCTCTCGTGTTCATGATCGCAGGCTAATTTTTATTTAAGTTTCCATTAGGTTTTTTTAATTCAAATTATTTTAGTAAGAAAAAAAACAAACCATCGTTATTAAGGATTTGGTAACCATTTCATTTTTAATTTTTAATTTACATTTATAAAAAATTTAAAAATTATAATAAAAATTTATTTAATAAATTTTTTAATTTATAAATAATTGTCTCAATTTATAAATTTAAGAAAAAAACGTAAACTTAAAAAATGAGTTTACGTTAGTTTTAAACATAAATTTAAAATTTTGACTAACAAATTTTTTTTCAATTAATTTTTTTTCCAATTAATTTTTTTTCTCAATTATAATGTGTATAATCTCATTGTCATAAATAATAAAAAATAAAATAAATGTTTTAGACCTGAACAAATATATTTTTTAGTTTATGCTTTTAAAAATTTTAAACATTTGTTCAAACTAAATGCGTTTGTACTTTATATTTTTCTAAAAATACACAAAAATCAATTTATAAAATTTTGGGAGACTTATTTACAAGTCATTTTTCAGACACTTATGCTAGGTTAAGTCCTGTGCAATTTCTTATAGAGTCTCAAATCCTATTGTAAATAGGAATGTATTCCACAAGATCCTATATAAACGTAACGTGACGTGACATTTACATAAACGTAACGTGACGTGACACATATATAAACGTAACGTGACACTTATACGTAACATGACATATACATAAATGTAACGTGACACCTACATAAACGTAACGTGTCACGTTACGTTTCGCAAATTTAATGAGTTTTTATTTTTTTAAATTGAATGTGAAAATGTTGCTAGTTTATGTTGGTGTCACGTTACGTTTAATGTAAATATGATATATGGCAACATTTAATTTCTTATAGGAAATTGAATATTACCATGGATCATAGGTGTCACATTACGTTTATGTAGGTGTCACGTTACGTTACGTTTATATAGATATGATCTATGGCAACATTCATAGGAAATTGAATGTTGCCATAGATCATAGGTGTCACGTTACGTTTATGTAGGTGTCACGTTACGTTACGTTTATATAGATGTGATCTATGGTAACATTCAATTTTTCATATAGTTTTACTATTATTTGTGATATTAACAATTAATATTGAGAGTAAATGTGTCAACAAACTTCCCACAGGACTTATGAAAATATAAATTTTTAGTAAAATCATTAATCAACATTCATTAATCAAAACTAAAATTTTTGAAAACATTAATCAAAAATATAAACGTTACCAAATGTTACTAATCATTTTTCTTTTTTTTAGGGGGGGTAAGTTGTTTCTGTTCGTCAAAATAGTTTTCAACTTTTTTAAAAAATTATATCTCATTTTTAAAATAAGGGGAAAGCACCAATAAATCCCAAATTTAAAAATGTTAATCCATTTAGTCCTGAAAGTTTTTTGTTAGACAAATAGGTCCTATTTCCCAAGAAGCTTACTATAGGCCTTTTTATGATTTTCCTTCTTTTCAAACATCAAACATTATTCATCCAACAATAAACATTAACAACGTCAGGATTATTCATCAAATATCAACCACTAAACATTAAGATTATTCAGCAAACATCAAGCATCAAACACAGATTCTGAACCATTAAACATTAAAATTATTCATCAAACATCAAACACAGATTCTAAACCATTAAACATTAAGATTATTCATCAAACATAAAAAATTATTCATCAAACATCAAACATTACCCTCTCAATTACTGACCCAGATCATCAAACGTCAGAACATCAAACATTAGCAAAATTAAAACTAACGTTGTGAACATCATCGCCATCATCAAGCTTTCTTGCGAGCACAGAGATACAAAAAAATAACACAACCCATAAATCTCCTATCAAAGAAAACCCATTTGGTTGTCACACTTAACCAACATTTTCTGCAAAATCCTAATTGAACTCTTATTGGCCATGAAAACCCCATAAACATGGAAACAATTGAACCCCCAATAGAGATCACAAAACATCAAGATCCATCCTAAAAGCCAATTCAATTCAGAAAACAACAGAACCCTAATTCAGAATACCAATCAAACATCACAACATCGCCATTAACGTCGCCATGTGTTGATGATGATGTTTGATTTTTTCCTGAGAAATTGCTACCGAAGAGAGGTACAGAGAGCCGGAAAACCGCCATCGAGGAGTGAAATCCGCCGGAAACCCGGAGTTGGAGTAGCGGAGGAGATCCGGAGGTGAGGTAGAAGACGGGGCGAAGAACAAGGTGAAGGACTTTAAAGCAAGCGCAGGAGACTGACAGGAAGACCAAACCGTACACGATCCGAAGTGCCATTAGAGAGAGAATTCAAAATCTGATCGATTTGTAAAAAGCGATTAGAGTGAAGATCGAGATCTGGATTAGATGCATAGCATATATATATATATATGGAGAGAGAGAGAGAGAGAGAGAGAGAGAGAGAGAGAGAGAGAGTAATGGTATGTGATTGGGTTTTGAATTTAGCCAAATCTGATGGTGATTGCGCTGCAATGGGAGGGATGAGCCATGTGTTGATGATGATGTTTGATGAGCCTATGTTGTTTTGGTGATGATGTTTGATGTTGTTTGATGATGATGTTGTGAGGTTTGATGTTGTTTTAATGATAATGTTTGATGTTGTTTTGATGATGATGTTGTGATGTTAAAAAAGGACTAAATGGTTTATAAAAAAACATTCAGGACTAAATGTAGTAACATTTTCCAATATAGGACTTATGAGTAATTTTTTCCTAATAATAATTGATGTAGATAATTAAATATATTATTTTAAGAAAAAATTACTCATAAGTCCTATATTGGAAAATGTTACTCCATTTAGTCCTGAATGTTTTTTTATAAACCATTTAGTCCTTTTTTAACATCACAACATCATCATCAAAACAACATCAAACATTATCATTAAAACAACATCAAACCTCACAACATCATCATCAAACAACATCAAACATCATCACCAAAATGGGTTTTCTTTGATAGGAGATTTTGCAGAAAATGTTGGTTAAGTGTGACAACAAAATGGGTTTTCTTTGATAGGAGATTTATGGGTTGTATTATTTTTTTGTATCTCTGTGCTCGCAAGAAAGCTTGATGATGGCGATGATGTTCACAACGTTAGTTTTAATTTTGCTAATGTTTGATGTTCTGAGGATGGATCTTGATGTTTTGTGATCTCTGTTGGGGTTCAATTGTTTCCATGTTTATAGGGTTTTCATGGCCAATAAGAGTTCAATTGGGATTTTACAGAAAATGTTGGTTCAGTGTAACAACCAAATGGGTTTTCTTTGATAGGAGATTTATGGGTTGTATTATTTTTTTGTATCTCTGTGCTCGCAAGAAAGCTTGATGATGTTCACAACGTTAGTTTTAATTTTGCTAATGTTTGATGTTCTGACGTTTGATGATCTGGGTCAGTAATTGAGAGGGTAATGTTTGATGTTTGATGAATAATTTTTGATGTTTGATGAATAATCTTAATGTTTAATGGTTTAGAATCTGTGTTTGATGTTTGATGAATAATTTTAATGTTTAATGGTTCAGAATCTGTGTTTGATGTTTGATGTTTGTTGAATAATCTTAATGTTTAGTGGTTGATATTTGATGAATAATCCTGACGTTGTTAATGTTTATTCTTGGATGAATAATGTTTGATGTTTGAAAAGAAGGAAAATCATAAAAAGGCCTATAGTAAGCTTCTTGGGAAATATGACCTATTTGTCTAACAAAAAATTTCAGGACTAAATGGATTAACATTTTCAAATTTGGGATTTATTGGTGCTTTACCATATTATTTCTTTCAAGTGTACTAAATAATTTTTTATATTTTTTTATTTGATTTGTTCTATTTATTTTATAATTTTTATTAAAATTTTAATTTTAATAGGTATAGTCTAGTAATTTCGTCATATTTATTTTAAAAAATTAAAAATAATTTTGATTTTAAAATTAAATCATCATTTTTGAAGGGGGATTTTTTTTTAAGGTTTCTGGTATTAAGATTTTATAGCATAAAGGACATTCAATATTTTCTTAATGTTTAAGGTCTCTCACGCATTGATCCAAAGAAATTTCAATTCGGAGAATTTCTCTGGACTTATTTCTCTGGTTTGCACAAATTTCTCCGTTTTGCAAATTTCTCTAGTTGCAAATATCTCTAGTTTTCTCTGGACTTTCTAGAGAAATTCTCTCAAAACTATAGAAATTTTTAAAATTTCAAAATTTCTCTGAACTTCCCAAAGAAATTTTCTCCAAACCAAATAAATTTTCTCTATATTTTGAACAAATCAGAGAAAATTAGGCTGTTTAGAAATCAAAAACAATAACAATTTTCTTTGTGTTTTAAACAAATCAGAGAAAATTGGCTTACTTAGAAACCAAAAAAATCACAATTTTCTATGTATTTTGAACAAACTAGAGAAAATTGAGCTACTAAGAAATCAAAAAACAATCAAAATTTTCTTTATGTATTGAACAAATCAAAGAAAATTGGGCTACTTAGAAACCAAAAAAAAAAAAATCACAATTTTCCCTATGATTTGAACAAACCAGAGAAAATTGGACTACTTGGAAATCAAAAAAAAATATTCGCAATTTTCTCTATGTTTTGAACAAACCAGAGAAAATTGGACTACTTAGAAACCAAAAACAATCACAATTTTCTATGTGTTTTGAACAAACCAGAGAAAATTGTGATTGTTTTTCTCTGTGGTTGTTTTTCTAAGAAGCATTTTATCACAAAGGTTAGCTTCAAAGCTCACAGCTATATGTCTTACCGCTCTAAGAAGAGTTGTGTCAAATCAAATATCACAGTTATGTACTTTGGAGTTCTAAGAAGTATTTTGTCAAATAGTTTAACTTCATACTATATATATAGATGTTTG